TAACAAAACTAAATTAAACTTTGAGTTTCTTCTTAAAATCCTTTAACTTGTTTTTTTATTAAACGCTTTCAATATACTTATGTTTATTTCAATGTTTTTGAATCGTAGTTTGCTTCTAATAATAATTATTAATAATCATTAATCATGCAGTCTTTTAATTAAATAAATAGTAAATAAGGAATTTAACCGAAGAAATCTTAAAAAAAAACAAGCTTTAATTTAAAGATACAGAAGCGTTCTTCCTATTAATTTATCACTTAACATTAGGTATCTGATTATAATAAAATGTCTACACAGACTTATAACTAGGTACAGGGTGATTCACTATATTTTGACCCCCCTTTAACTTTTTTGTTTTAAGAGTTATAAAAAAATTTGAAATACAAAAGTTGCACGATTTTTTATGAAATTTTCTAATATTATAGTAGAAAAACAAATGAAGTTCAAACAAAATGACCGCGGATGTTAACTTTTTTAATTTAAATGGAACACCCCGTATATTTTTACACATTTGGATAGAACATTCCCTGTCGAGCACAGTCATATATGGTTTGTTGGGTCCATCTCTAACAATAATATTTTGTAATTGTTGGACGTTTTTCGGGCAATTCTGCCTTTTTTCCAATTACGTAAGGATTTAGATTTATTTGCAATATATTTTGACATATCGAACATTGATATAGTTCAAAATGGATATAAGTATTTTAACTAGATCGCACTAATTAGTCCGTGAGGAGCTTATTTACTCATGGACAATGTTATATGGTAGGCCGTGACAGTGACAGGTAATATTATGACAACATTGTTACTGTTTGACAGTTTGTATTATTATTTATTTAAAATGGGTTACATAGAAGTAGAAAATTTAAATATCATAGGAATTAAGATAGAGAAGTTAAGATATTCTCCATAGTTTATTTTAATTCATAATAATAAATTTTCTACTTCTGTGTAACCCATTTTAATTAACTACTAATACAAACTGTCAAACAATAACAATGTTATCATGACATTACTACCTGTCACTGTCACGACTAACCATATATAAGATTGTCCATGAGTAATTGGCCTCACACGGTCTAATTAGTGAGATTTACTTAAAATACCTATACGCATTTTGGACTATATCAATGTCCGATATGTCAAAATATATTACATCTAAATGTAAATCCTTACGTAATTGGAAAAAAGGCAGAAATGCCCGAAAGAGGTCTAACAATTACAAGATGTCTTATTTTCTTAATAAAAAAACATCATTTCGTTTTTTAATATTATCTCGCCTATTATTAGAGATGGACCCAACAAACCCTATATGACTATGCTCGACAAGGAACGTTCTATCCAAATATGTAAAAATATACAGGGTGTCCCATTTAAATTAAGAAAGTTAACATCCGCGGCCATTTTGTTTGAACTTCATTTGTTTTTCTACTGTCATTTTCGAAAACTTCATAAAAAATCGTGCAACTTTTGTATTTCACATTTTTTTATAACTCTTAAAACAAAAAAGTTAAAGGGGGTCAAAATTTAGTGAATCACCCTGTACATTAAAAAAAAAGAATCATCAAAGTAAACAAAAACCTTAAAAACTTAAAATAAATAAATCATGAGCTGGTAGAGAAACCACTTTAATCGCTCAGTTATTTGTCGAGAAACGAAGTGAACGTATGAACGAAACGAACTCCAGTCAAGAACTTAAGACGCGCGTGATTTTGAAATTTCTCGATTTCTCGAATTCTCGACACTTTTTTCTCGTCTCGAGTAAGGCCAGGTTTCCCGGAATTTCTCGCTTCGAGAAGTCTCGACCAGAAACCCTAATTCCGAGTCAGCCGTTACCAATATTCGCCCAAGAAAAGACAAGTGAACCGCGAAGAGGTCCAAAGAATGTTATCCGCTGGAGCAATACAACGGAGTCACTCTGCGTATAGCTCTCCAATAGTACTCGTGCCAAAATCTTATGGCACTATTAGGTTTTGTGTCGATTATCGACAGTTAAATCAAGCCACTGAAGGCGAAGTGACCCAGTTATCGGTTATCCGGGATATCCTACGGGGAATAGGCCCCGCCAAGATCTTCAGTTCACTAGACTTGCGTAGCGGATATTGGCAGGTGTCAATGGATCTAGATAGTAGAGCGTTAACTGCGTTCAGCACTCCCGACGGGGTGTCTTACAAATTTTTGGTGATGCCTTTCGGATTGAAATGTGCCCCGTCGACGTTTCAAAAACTCATGGCGGAGGTGTTAGAAGGTTTCATTGATGATTTCGTACACGTCTACCTCGACGATATAATTATCTATTCCCGTACCCCAGAAGAACATATTCTACATCTTCGACGAGTCCTGGAGCGTCTTCAAGTCCACGGTTTACGATGCGCTCTAGAAAAATGTAAATTCGGAGCAACCAACTTGGAATATTTGGGGCACAAGGTCACAGCCCTAAACAACGAAGCCCAGGAAAAGCACGTGCTCAAAATACAGGAATTTTCTACTCCTAAAACGCGAAAGGAATTACAGAGATTCTTAGGGACAGCCAATTGGCTACGAGACTACGTGCCTAATTTTGCAATGGTGTCCGCTCCTTTAAGTGATCTCGTTGGAAAAAAACAATTCTTTTGGACACCACAGGCAGAGCAAGCATATCACGCTGTGAAAGAAGCACTATCAAACCTTTAACTTTAAGCCGTCCGAATCCAGATATGGGTATTATCTTGCAGACCGATGCAAGTTCTCTGGGTATGGGAGCTGTTCTCTACCAGGAGGATCGTGGTGGACAACGACGTATTTTATCTTGCGCGAGTGCCAAGGTCACCGCCACCGAGCGTAAATACCACTGTAATGAACAGGATGTGCTTGCGGTGGTATGGGCTTGTAAACGTTACCGGGGTTTGCTGGAAGATCACCCTTTTAAGTTGAGGACTGATAGTAGTGTCCTCTTGTGGTTAAGTAAATATAAAGACGATAGAGCGAAGTTAACAAGATACGCACTCTTATTACAAGAGTTCAATTTTACTGTCGAACACTTTCCTGGCCGTAGGAAGCATTTACCAGATTTTTTGTCTAGACACCCCGACGAGACTCAAGAATCAACTATGGACGAAACTAAACTCGGTTTACCGGAAGGACCTAGTGAAGACAAAGGACCACCTGAGGAAGTGGAATCATCCAGACGAGTCCGATTAGCCTTCATCAACCCCATACAGTTGCAGCAATTGGAGCTACCGGGAACATCATTGTATGATGACATAGTAGCTGCGCAAACCCAAAGTCCCGAATATCAAGCTCAAGACGGGGGAAGAAAAGGCTAAGGAAAACTGGCAGAAAACATTGTTAAACGACTACGTAGATGATGATGATGAATGAAATTCTCGAAGGCAATTGGTAGTTCCACTTAATTTATGGCAGAAAATAATCTATCATTATCATGATTCCCCATCCGCTGGTCACCCTGGCCCCGTGAGGAGACAATACAGGCCGTTACCGAGTTATATTATTGGCCAGCTGTATGCAAACAAATTAAGACCCATGTAAAACACTGCTTGATCTGTGCATCATCCTAGCGTGGAGGCACGACGCAGGCAAGAGCTCCGTTGAGACCACATCCTCCCAAGAGGCCATGGCAAGTTATAAGTTTAGATGTAATGGGCCCTTACCTGGTAACGAGACGGAAGAACAAATACATAATCGTTATCACAGACCTTTGTACAAAATGGGTCGAAGCCAAGGCAGTCCCAGAGGTCCGAACCAGAAGCATATTAACGTTCCTAGAAGAAGTATTTTACAAGTGGGGATATCTGGAAGAAATAATCACCGACAATACCTCTGTTTTTCGTAGCGCTGTCTGGAATAGATTCCATAACCGACATCACATTAAACAGTATACTTCACCTATTTACCATCAGCGCTCCAACCCGGTCGAGCGCCGCAACCAATAAGTAAAAAAGCTATTAAGAATACATCTTCAAAACAAGTCACCAACATTGTGGGATCAATTTATTGGCATCATCTTATTTGCATTGAGAACGCGACGAAACGCGGCCATTGGGATGTCTCCGAGTGAGGCTCTGCTGGGAGCTACTTTAGTAAGAGCAGGCGAGTGGTCCCATCCGGAGAGGCAAAGGGAGGTCGATAACCAGAGTCAATCTAGAAGACAACGAGAACAACAGATTCTACGACAACAGACAGCCTTCAATAGAAGATTATATCCATTTCCGCGGGACGCTCCGGTTAAATTTCAACTCCATGAGGATGTGTTGGTACGGAACTTCCCAGGAACGCAGAAAGCACTAGGAGAAGTCTGGCCCGTTTAAGATCAATCAAATTAAGGGAAATGGTGTATACGAAATCGACCGAAATGGCACCCATTATCAAATATATGTCGATGATATCCGCCCTTGGAAGAGAGACCCGTCATTTATGACACCACACGAAGATTCGACGAACGTGGCCGCTAGATACGACCGCGAACGAATGGATATGGGTATTCAACCGCCAACACCAGGTCCTTCCCGGGATGAAGAGGTCCAGGATTTCCAGGAAAGGCCGGGGAGGGAGAGGAGTAATGGTAGAGAGGTATCTCAACTGAGTCATATTGTTAGACAATCCTAGTTCCAGTGAGAGACCAGCCCACAAAGCGGGGGCAGACGAGTATTCAGTCGCTATAGAAGACTTATGTGAGGAATGGGATTCTCAATATATTAATGAGATAAACGCGGTTCCTATTGTAGGTTTGTACCCGTAGGGTAAACTGTAGTATTATACAGCCTTTTGGGGGGGGGGGGGTGAATGTCGTAGGATGTTGGCTTTTTTTATTAAAAAAATGGCCAAACAGGCGAGATTTAATGATAAGAGAGTTTTGACTTCTTGACAGAAAAAGCCGTCAGTCAAAAAATTTTGGAAATTATTTTTTCAAAAAAGGTTTGTGCTCGTAAATAGACATCAGGTTATTAAACAATTTGTATTTTGCTTTAATATATAAGTTGAACGTTGATTAGTGTATCTATTCAGACTGTTGAGACTTCTGGTACTGTGACGATGGAGAGAGGAGCTCCGGAAATGTCGCACGTAGAACGAATCGTTCCATGTGCTGCGACCTTGCCAGAAGACATTACTGTTCTCGAGCGAGAATTTTTGGCTTCCACCATATCTTTGGAGGAAACCCCGTTCCTGGGATTCCCTAGGAAATCTCAGGATGAGGGAGAGTCACGAGCAGTGCTCCCCGTAGCGGAGGAACGGCCACGACGACAATATACGTGTGTACATACATTTACATATGTGTATATAAACAAAAAAAACATTCAATTACTAAGTATGGCACTATCATCAAACATGATGATCAGAGTGACATGTTATTATAGAAAACTTAATTGAGCAACTCCTCTGTCTCTGTATAAGTATATAAAAAAAACCGATCAAGTTTTGTTTTTTATACATACTGTTTCATCTATGACAGTGTATGAAAAGATAGCAATTGAGGAGAGGACAAAATTAAGTGATAATAAGGGAATTTTCAATGAAGTATTAGGAAGCAATTACGTAACGAAACCTTAAATAAAGTATTAGGTTAGAAGAAGAGTAGCCTGATAGTATGAATAAAAATGTTGATATTAACCAGAGTTACAACCTAAGAAGCGTACGAAAGTTATAAAAGTTAAAAAATATACACTGTAAGGAACATTTGACCTATTTTCACTCAATTTCACTTAATAATGTATCAATTTCTGTCCATTCAATTAAGCGAAATTTTCCTCTATTAGTATGAGTAAATACAACTAAAATTTTATGAGTAAAACTACCGGTTCAAATATTATCAAAAATGAGTTGTCAAGGTGACAAGGTTTTATTGACTGAAAATGTGCTCAATAATGTCACTCAATGGATTTCACTCAGATCGATTTATTTACAGTGTATATCTAGGTATATGCCTGTATATATAAATATATAATTTACCAAGTATGGAATTTTGTTGATTGTGGCCAAACAAATCAAAAAGTTTGCATCTGTTAAGATGAACTACATGCTATTTGAAGGTATAATACACAAATTATATTAGTACAAGCAATATCGAAATAATCCTATCTAAAAACTACATCAACGACAGATAAAATCAAAAGGATGTTTAGGAAGTTTAAAATATAAGTTCAGACATTTAGTTGTTTCCTTTGGCTGAAAATTAAAGTCTTAATCTAATTTGCCATGGACATATTAAACCAATTAGTAAAATGAATATAGCAAAAACTGGCAACTGCATCTTACTTGGAGAGATATTCAATTAGTTGCTATATACCAATGCCATTCAGAGACAAAGTTGTAAAAAACGGCTTCCTTTAAGAATGTTTATTCAACATACTGTAACTTTATAGTTATGTTCTTTGGGCTAAGAATCAAAGAAAAATTTTGCTTTCACATATCAAAGCAACAATTAATATCACACTTATATAACAAGTATACATCAAATATCACGAAATAGATAACTACATTTATATGTGTCTTATAGCTATTATGTCAGTATACATTGACTTGAATTTGAATTAAAGTCCAAAGTAAAAATGTCGGTCATACTAAGTTACTGATGTTTCTGAAACAAAATATCAAGACGAAATTCAAAACGTTTCAAATAGCTACAGTTCTTTTATTTCCCAATGGTACTCTTATCTGAATTAGTTTGAAAATGTAAACCTATTGCTTCCCTTTTTTCTGTAATAATATTTATATAGAAAGGGGTTAAATATTGCACCCTCTTTATGTCATGAGTACCTGAGCATGCGCAGTCATCATCATTAAGGAAAAAACGGTGCTGCAATCTGCTTCCATCAGGTCATGTGACGCATTGGAGATGCTGTTAGTAGCAAAGTTTAGTAGGGCTAGGGTTAGTACATACAAATGGCTATAATCTTTCTGATGTCCTGAGGTGATAAAAATTCTATCCCCAGGAATTTGTGATTTGTCACCATTAAGCATTCATAGTATCAAAGAATGTATATATAATCCTCGTGCCTATATAATCTGTACTTTACGCCAGTCCTCAGTCAAAACCTAAAAAGCTATAAGTACCTCCACATTACCAAACTGGTAAAGGAGAGACGATTTCTAATGTTCCATAAACAAAAAAAATAGAATGTATACACATGTAAATATATTTAGTTTAGTTTAGTTTAGTTTAGTTTAGTTTAGTTTATTGGTGCCCAAGGATACAAAGTATTTGCACAAGTCAAAAAAGAACAGTACACACAGAAATACTAACACTAAAACAATTTTGTAGTAGATAATATGAAAAACAAGATAGAAATAAAATAATAGACAAACATATTCAGTTAAAACAAAGATAAAACTAAGACAAGAAAAAAAAATTCTAAGACATCATTGCTAGCAAATTACTATTTAAAAATTCCTAATTATTCCTATTTATTTTTCTTTATGAATTACTTTGGTTTACTTCTCCCATTTGGAGATGACAATGAAACATCGATATCACCAAAATTTTTGGTCGATACAGAAATAGAAAAAATAGGACATTATGCTTGCTATCAAATATATGTAAATATAGGATTGGTGTACTTACATAAAAGAATTTAAAACATTACTAGAAAGGCAGGCAAACTCCGCTTACGCGGAGTTTGGCCTTCCTCTCGGGCCGCGCTGTACGCGCCCCGAGCACCGCTCCGCGGTGCTTTCCTCGCTGGTTAGTAGATATAACATTTTTTGAAATACCCTGTACTTTGATTTTTAAACACCCTGTATATAAAAGTATGATGAAAATGTTTTTCAAAAAAGAGTAGGCCCCGCTCGAGAAAAGAATAAGAAAAGTTTCTTCCAAACTTCCGAAAAAGGCATCTGGTTAGTAAATATAAAATTTTTCATCCAAAGACTACGTAGGTAAGGCAAACTTGGTAAAAAAATAAATTAAGACATCTGCTTGATAAATATACAAATTTTCATTAAAAGACTGTAGTAAATAAAGTCAAAGCTAAAAGTGAAAAGAAACAAAACTGCCCTTAATTCTATAGAACATCTAGTATATGAATTTTAAAAAAAGCGACTTTTCTTCAAAAAATTTAAAGAAAAAATTAAAAAAATGAATAAGGAAAAATCTAGTCCACCTGTTTTACGAAACATCCTGAACATAAATTGCAAAAAAACACCTGGTTGATAGGGTATAAGATTTTTCTCAAAAAAATATTGCAGACCAGTACATACTGTAGAAATGGAAAAAAATATACCTATGGAAAGTTTCGTTCTGTTGGTAATTGGATCAGTTTTATGGAACATCCAGTATAAAGATTCAAAAAGACATCCGGTTAATAAATATACAATTTTTCATTAAAATATTTTAGTAAATAAAAACAAAGTTAAAAGTGAAAAGGGGAAAATTGCCCGTTTCAGATGTGCAATTTTTTGGAACACCCAGTACTTATATGGATTTTCTAAAAAGCGGCTGGTCAGTAAATATACAACTTTTCTTCAAAAGGTTTCATGAAAAAATTAACAAAATCTGGTCCACTTGTGTCAGTTTTATGAAACATCCTGTACAGAAATTGCAAAAAACATTTGGTTAATAAGACACCGTGTGTAGAAATATCTATTTGAAAATTTAGGCAGGTAGTGAAATGAGAAAAAATCCTAGTCCGTTTGTCATTTTTATGAAACACTTAGTATATAAATTTGCAATATGCCTCTGAGTTCTACAATATAAGATTTTTCATAAAAATATTGCCACAATAAATTTCTGAAATATACAGAAGCCTCTAGACCGATAATTTTAACTTGGGTCAGTTATGTAGAACATGCAGTATATATGGATTTTCAAAAAAATCCTTTGATTAGTAACTATATAACTTTTCATGAAAAGATTTCAATAAAAAAGTTGGAAAAGTGAAAAGATAAGTAAAAATCACAGTTCACCTGTGTCATTTTTATGAAACATTCGGTACATACCTTTGTAGAAAGCATATATGATTACTACGATATCAGGTTTTTCATAAAAATATTGCAATCGATAAACTGAAATATATAGGAGCGTCTGGACCGTTCGAGTTTCAACGCAATTTTTTAGACGCCCTCTAGGATAGAAACCTATATTTTATATTTTTTTGTTATAGAAAGGTTTAAAAAGATGAAGAATCCATATATAAAATTAAATTACGGCAGTAAATAAAAAAAAATCTTAGGTTACCTCGTCTGAGATTGAACCGACGACCTTACGAATACAACGGGGCATTTTTACCGCTGTGCTGTCGACTGCTTCATGCACAATCCGTCTATACTGATATTTTAACTGTCATTCACAGCTGAAGTAATCAACAATTTTTTTTAATGTTAAATTTGCATTTTTCTAACAAGTCGTATCGCAAAAGATCTACAATGAGATAACAGATAAATAACGACATCCTATGACTTGAAAGAGTCTTTACCTCCAACTTATTTCTACTGATTCTTAACTTTTGACGTTTGGGGAGTAATAGATACGAATGCAACACAGTAAATTAACGAAGCAAATGTACTAATACAAAGGTTCAAGGGTTTAGGTACTATGGATTGGTTTAAAATTATGCTGTTTTAGAGGGCAAGTACTTACGTTAATTCGGGGGACAGGTATCGTAATCGTAGGCATGTAAAATGGTAGAGCTGCGAAAATGTAAATAACAACCTAACCTAATAATAAGAAATACCTGTATATGTCGTGGCGTAGCAATGTATTAAGGTTAAAAAAGGCCTAGTAAGGTAAAATAACGGTTCGCCGCGATCCTATAGACGTCTTTCGCGTTTGGCGTGAAATTATTTTGACATAATTAATCTGACGTTTCTAACGACATTCGAATTTTCTCCGAGTGGGCGTGTCTTAAAACCTCAAACTTTACGGCTTGCGAAATGGTCGTCTGTCGTCGAGGAGACCGCAAAAAAGGCAAAATTAAATATGAAAACGCGAAAAAAACGTGACAAAAATGACCCTGAACGACTTAGGAGGAACGGCTGAGTCTCTGTGCCAAGTCGCACGCCGTTTCGAGGCTCGCGGAGAAGGAATTTTGTGGGGCAAAATTCACATAGTGCATTTTAACGTATTTACGGCCGCATTTCGAATCCCGCATTTGATTTCGCGGAGTTCTATGGAAAAAGCGTGAAATAGGCACCCGGTCGATAAATATGAGTATTTTCGGCACAGTTTTAAATAAAATATCGTAGAAAATAGGGGAAATAAAAAATAAAAAAGCCGTACCCGCGCGCAATTCGAGGCGATCGGCGACCGTCAGATTTCAGCGGGAGGGCGTGTCGGACAAAAATTATGCCGCGCTCCTCGCAGAGCCTGAAGAAAACTGAAAATTCACCGCGAAGACGGCAAAAAGTCGCCATCAAAATACGACGTTCGGACGTAGGAAAGCCGGCGGGGGGCTTCAACCCCCCGCGGCTCGCCGCTGCGCGGCGCCCACAAAAAGCTTTCGAGTCTGCAAATCGGCGCTTTTTCGGGGCGATTGTGCAACGCAGACGGAGCTATCGGATTTTAATATATATGGACTAGAAACGTAGGCAAGTCGGCTTCGCCGACTTGACGTTTCTCTCGTGCCTTTGGCCCTCGGGCGGCGCTGCGCGACGCATGAGCTCCGCTTTGCGGAGCACTGTCTGGCGGGAATGTTTTTTAAATCATCAACACCATCATCCACATTACCATAATCTACATCGCCATCATATACATCACCATCATCGACATCACCATCATCTATAGCACCATCATCTACATCACCATCATCAATATCACTATCATCTACATCGCCATCATCTACATTACCATCTACATCACCATAATCTTCAGAACTATAATCTCCAGCACAATAATCTACATCACCATCATCTGCATCGCTATCATCTACATTACCATCATTTACATCGTCATCATCAACATCATCATAATCTACATCGCTATTATCTATATCAGCATCATCTACGTCACCATCATCTACATCTACATCGTCATCATCTACATCACTGTCATCTATATCGCCATGATCTACATCACTATCATCTACATCACCATAATCTACATTGCCATCATCTACATCACCATCATCTACAGCGTCATCATCTATATCACCATAATTTACCGCACCATCATCTACATCTATATCGCCATCATATACATCATCTACATCACCATCATCTACATCTACATCGCCATCATCTACATCACTGTCATCTATATCGCCTTGATCTACATCACCATCATTTACATCACCATAATCTACATCACAATCATCTACATCTCCATTATCTACATCGCCATCACCTACACCGGCATCATCTTCATCACCATCATATACATCACCATCACCTACATCGCCACCATCCACATCACCATAATCTACATGATCGTCATCTACATGACCATCATTTACATCGCCATTATCTACATTACCATCATCTACTACAGCAACATCTATATCACCATCATGTACATCACTATTATCTACACCACCATCATCTACACCACCATCATCTACATCGCCATCATCTACATTGCCATCATTTGCGCCACCATCATCTACGTCACCATCATCTACATTGCCATCATCTACGCCACCATCATCTACGTCACCATCATCTACATTGCCATCATCTACGCCACCATCATCTACGTCACCATCATCTACACCACCATCAACTACGTCACCATCGTCTACATCGCCATCATCTACATTACCATTATTTACATCATCTACATCACCACCATCTACATTATTATCACCATTCAAATGTGGGTCGATTTTGTGAAACATTCTGTGTAGCAAGTTTTAAAATGTCATCTGGTTAGTAAATAAAAAAATTTTCATGAATTGGCTTCACTAAATAAAGTAGAAGAAATAAATATGATAAGGAATAATCCACGGGGTCTGTTCTGGATCAATTTTATATAACATGCACTATATTGTAAAGTTTGAAAAACCATATTATAAAATTGTTACCTCAAAAAATAAGGTAGAATAAAATAAAAAAAATATGAATACGTTTGAACACTTGCAACTCTGACCTGGATCAATTTTGTTGGAACATTCGGTATAAAAATTATCAAAAAAGCTTCGTATTGGTAAATGCAAATTTTTTATCAATGAACTTTACCAAATAAAGTAGAAAAAGGTAAAAAGGGTAAAAAAATATTTGGTCTGCCGCCTTTTTGTTTTGGTTTCAATTCTGATGTAGATCATTTTGTACATTCAGTATACACTTCCAAATGGGTATCTAGTTAGTAATTATAAAATTTTTCATCCAAAGACTTCAGTATGTAGGTAAGTCAGAAATGGGGAAAAATAAGTTAAGTTTCACTCTCCTAATTATGAAGTGTCTTGTAGAACATACAGTAAATATAAAATTTTTCATCCAAAGATTTCAGTACGTAGGTAAGGCAGAAATGGGGAAAAAATAAGTTAAGTTACACTTTCTCATAATTTTGAAGTGGATCATTTTTTGGAACATCCAGTATAAACTTCCAAAAAGGTATCTGGTTAGTAAATATACAATTTTTCATTAAAAGCCTTCAGTAAGTAAAAATAAAGTTAAAAGAAAAAGGAAAATTTTTGCTGTTAATCAGACCTGGCTCAATTTTCAGTATATGGATTTTTCAAAAAGCGAATGGTCAGTTTTCGTCAAAACGTTTCAGTATAGAAAGTAAAAAAAAGTAAAAATAATAAAGAAGCCTAGTCCACCTGTGGCAGCTTTATGAGACATCCACTACATCTGGTTAATAAGATATGATTTGTCATAAAAATATTGCCATCAATAAATTTCTGAAATATACAGAAGCCTCTGGACCGATAATTCTGGCCTGGGTCAATTTATGTAGAACATCAAGTATATGAATTTTCAAAAAAAGCGTCTGGTTAGTAACTATAAATTTTCATCAAGAGATTTCAATAAATAATGTAGGAAAGTGGGTAGTGAAATGAGAAAAAAATCCTAGTCCGCCTGTTTCATTTTTATATGAAACACTCAGTATATAAATTTGCAAGATGCTTCTGAGTTCTACAATATAAGATTTTTCATAAAAATATTGCCATCAATAAATTTCCGAAATATACAGAAGCCTCTGGACCGATAATTCTGACCTGGGCCATTTTATGTAAACATCCAGTACATGGATTTTCAAAGAAAGAGTCTGGTTAGTAACTATATAAATCTTCATCAAGAGATTTCAATAAATAATGTAGGAAAGTAGGTAGTGAAATGAGAAAAAAATCCTTGTCCGCCTGTTTCATTTTTATGAAACACTCAGTATATAAATTTGCAAAATGCTTCTACAGTTGTACAATATAAGATCTTTCATAAAAATATTGCAACCAATAAATTTCTGAAATATGCAGAACACTCTCGACCGTTCCAGCTT